AGCACCTTAAATACGGCAAGTTGGGGATGGAATTACAGCGGAGCTTCTGAAAGCGGGTGGAAAACCGGTACTTGAAGCCTTTCAGAAGCTATTTAATTCCGTCCTCCATGGTGGCACTACTCCGGAGACGTGTAGCAGAAGTGCGGTGGTCTTGTTCTTCAAGAACGGCGTTAACGCTCTCTTGAAGAACTACAGACCGATTTCACTTTTGAGCCGCGTCTACGTACTGTTTTCGAGAGTCATTACGAATCGTCTCGCGCGCAGACTTGATGACTTCCAGCCTCCCGAACAAGCCGGTTCCCGAAATGGTTTTAGTACCATAGACCACATACACACCCTTCGACAAATTGTACAGAAGACAGAAGAGTACAATCTGCCACTTTGCCTTGCGTATGTGGACTATGAGAAAGCCTTTGATTTCCTCGAAACTTTGGCGTCGCTACAGTCCCTTGAGCGGTGCCAAGTTGACTGTCGGTATATCGAAGAGCTGATGTGTTTGTACAGTAGGGCTACCATGGCTATCCGAGTACAGAATCAGAGTACGAAACCTATCCAACTGCAGAGAGGTGTAAGACTGGGTGCTATTATATTCCCGAAACTCTTCACCGCTGCATTGGAAGACGTTTTCAAGCTCCTGGACTGGAAAGGATACGGTATTAACATAAATGGCGAGTACACCACTCACCTTCGAGTTGCCGACGATATAGTCCTTATGGCAGAATCACTGCAAGAACTAAGCACTATACTCAATGACCTCAATAGTGTCTCCCAACGGATAGGTCTTAAGATGAACATGGACAAAACAAAGATCATGTTTAATGTCCATGTCACACCTATGCCGGTAGTTGTTGGGAGCACTAAGCTCAAAGTTGTTGACGAGTATGTTTACCTGGGACAAATAGTCCGAATAGGTAAGTCCAACTTTGACCGAGAGGTCAATCGACGGATTCAACTCAGCTGGGCAGCGTTCGGGAAACTACGACACATCTTCTCGTTAGACATACCTCAAAACCTTAAAACGAAATTGTTCAACCAGTGCGTGTTGCCAGTGATCACTTACGGATCTGAGACGTGCTCCTTCACTGCTGGCCGTATGAGGAAGCTCAAGGTCGTTCAGCGAGCTATGGAGAGGGCTATGCTCGGGGTTTCTCTGCGTGATAAACTTAGAAATGAGGATATCCGCAGTAGAACCCGAGTGACCGACATAGCCCAACGGATTATTAAGCTAAAGTGACAATGGGCCGACCATATAGCTCGAAGAACCGACAACCGATGGGGAAGAAAGGTTCTCGAGTGGCAGCCTCGTACTGGTAGGCGAAGTGTAGGGCGTCCCCCCACTAGATGGAGTGACGACCTTGTAAGACGTGCAGGAAGTCGATGGATGCAGGTGGCTCAGGACCGTGCTTTGTGGCATTTCTTGGGGGGGGGGGGAGGGCTATGTTCAGCAGTGTACTTGTGAAGGGCGGTAATGATGATAATGACGATGAGATGGTATTTAGCAGCATCTGAGAGCTTCTGGTTGTATAGTACGGATTCGGCCTGTATGAACCAGGTGCGCGGCTGATCCTCCCAAAATTCCGGGATTCTCGACAAAACCGTTATTCGAGACAATTCTGCTTCCGATTTTTCTTCCTTGGACCTCATTTTCGATAGTATGCACTATACAGAAACACAAACGAGCACGGCACTGTATCACGTCGGGGTCACCACTTTAACTAATGATGAATGATGTCCGCGTCACTTGTCACTTCTATCACACTAGAAGTGAGATAAAGTCCTTGTAATAAATAGTAGTTTATTATATACAGACGTGTTACAACAGTGCCGGCGGCCATATTGCTACTGCCTCACACAATTTAGTTACATAGGTACAATAGGCATATATGCTACGTGTAGTTACATATGTAACCTAATCATCATCATTACATTCTTTCACAAGTCCACCGCTGAACATGAGGAAAGCTTATGTTCTTCCACAAGCAATGCCACAAAACTCAGTCCTGAGTCACCTGTACCTTTTACAAGGGCGTGCGCTTATCAGTACGAGGTTGCCACTCGAGAATCTTTCTTCCTCATCGGTTTGTCAGAAGTGGACTGTTTTTGGGTTGATGAGGATTTGAAATCACGACTTAAATTAAAATTTTTAAAAACTCCCGACGCAAAAACTGTTGATGATCTTCAAACGGCTGAACAGATTTTCTTGAAACATAGCTAGGAATATTCTCGATTAAGACACCTTTCAAAAGGAATAAACTTAATCGAAATCGGCTCATCCGTTCAGGAGCTATAATGCCGCAGACAGACACACAGATACACGGATACACAGATAAACGGATACATTGATACACACGTTAAACATATAACACCCCTCTTATTACCGACTTCAGCATCTAGTACCATCTAGACATTACTTGCCTATATTTTGGACTATCATTACTAAATTATGTTTAGAAACAGACTTAAGACTGCCTTTCCTAAAGGGATGTGCGAGGTGCTAAGCTTCTCACTTTCGCATCGTTTACCTCGCACATCCCTAGTGGAAAGGCAGCATAAAGTTAGATTAGTTATGTAAACAAACGAGATATACAGTAGCTTCGGTTTCATGAGCGCAGTTTGCTTAAATTTTGTTAAACCTATATGCTTATAATTAAAAACCTTTGACAAAGATGTTATAGATTACCGTGGCGGACAAACAAATCCTAGGTAAGTTTGAACCTCTGCTCCAAATACACAGTTTGTTGGTTATCGAGTTTGGTTCTGCTGTGAATATACCAGTATCCCTGTCACTGCATTCTATTGTATCTATTATCTAATTGGATAAACATTACATTAGACATGCATAAGTTAGGAATAGAAAGTTTCTTTGGAATAAGTTAATGTTAAGTGGATGCTGAGGCTCATAGACATCTACATCTACCCCCGATTAAGAATCAAAATGTAAATGGGTTGTCAACTGAGGACTGAGATGGAATGCCTTGGTTTCAGGAAAAAAGGTAATTGGTTCTCTATACCCACCATACGAAATAATATATCTATTTTACGCGGTATTCTATGAGAGCATGGCCTTTCGTGCTGCGACCATAATATAGCTGCAGCTTCGTTACGTGAAGAAGTGCATCTTTATCAGCGCTAACACTTAAAATTACAGCATATATACGTCCCATAGCTGGACACAGGCCTCTGATCATTTCTGAGGATAGAGTTTTAGGGCCTGGAAGTATCCACCGCGTTGTCCCAATGCACGTTGGTGGACTTCACATTTATCGTTTTTTTTTTAAATTTAATTGACATGCGGGGTTTCTCACAGTATTTTTCTTCCCTGCTGAGCTCGTGGTAAATCAGAACGTATAAATCAGTAAGAAGTGACTTAATTTCTAGAGTCGAATTAAGCTTTTAAAACAGATTAAAAGAGAAGAATTAAGTTACGCTTTAGAAGACGTTGTTCTATATGTGTAATGTAACGTTCTGTCTTATCTGTCTTCAGAGACAGTTCTTGTTTTTGTCAGATATATTTGGATTTTTATGCGATATCTTTGAACTATATATATATATATATATTATTACATATGTTATGTTACATATATATATATATATATATATATATATATACTAGCTGTCCAGGCAGACGTTGTTCTGCCCTTTCCGACGACCCTTCAAATAAAAAATCCTGTCACTTACTCAAGTTAGACCAAACTGCACAGAGTGTGCAAAATTTCATTGAAATCAGTTCAGTAGTTTAGGAGTTCATCGCGGACGAACAACGTGACTCGTAATTTTTATATATAAAGATATATATATTTATTATAAATGCTTTTAAGATTGAATTTTTTTTTAGTTCAAGCAAAATTTATCAAAAAAATATTGTAAAAAATAACGAGCGAAAAAGTAAGTTTCTTCAACTTACTTCAATATTTCTAAGGTAATCGAAATATAAAAAAACGTTTTTTGAAGCACCACTGTCCACAGAGGCTGTGACGCATGTAATCTTAGTCTTTTGTTTTTAGTTTATCTGTTTGAAGTCAAATGTAAGTATCCGTGTTGCCAACTCGAATTTTTCCAAATCCGTAGATTGGTATAAAAGTTTCCGTAGAATTTCGTACATGCTATTTCAAAATATCCATATATTTGCAGACTTTGAATCAAGCTGCACACATTATAAGAAGAAAGTACCATAAAAATTGATTAAAAATAATGGTTATCTTTTAATTAAATTAAAAAAAAAAAACAAATAACTAACACTTAAATATGTGTGGATAGTTTTATACAAAAACAGTTACTTCATTCATGGTAAAAAAATGATTTTGTTAAGTTTTTAAAAATCTAATTACTATATTAATCTATTATAAGGACTGTGAAATATAGTAAAAATTAAAAATTTATAATTTATTTAACATGGAAATCAAATTCCGTAGATTTCAACTCAAATTCCGTAGTTCCTTAGATGATGACAAACTTTCGTACATCTGCGGAAAAATTTGTAGAGTTGGGAACACTGCCGCGGACTGCAGTAGCCTCTTAATATCGGGTGGAATGTAAGCTCTTTTGTTACTTCAGTTTTGTATAAGTAAAAATATATAAGAGATCGCTTTCTTGGGAGTATTATCATCAGTTCACCAAACATAATTAAAAATTTTAACAACATTTTAACAACAAACATTTTGAACATTTTGAATAACTCAAAAACTATTGGTCAGACCTTGATCAAATTTATATGGGACCACATGAAAAGCACCAACTTTCAAATAAAAAAAAAAAACAATCATCGAAATCGATTCATCCAGAAACAAGTTATGAGGTAACACACATAAAAAAAGAACATGCAGTCGAATTGAGTACCGTCTCCCTTTTGAAGTCGGTAGAAAAGAAGAGCCTAACTTTTTGGTTCGTCGACGGTAATAATGAATATTTATTTAAAAAAATCGATTTATTATTCGCTTGAATTCGAAAAATACAAAACATAGTAGAAAATAAATGATAGCTTATATATGAAAACATAAAAGTTAGCAGCGGGACAGGTCGGGAAGGCTCTTCTCCTTGCAGTAGGCGTAAGATGAAGGCCAGGCTTTGAATCCGACGCGGTCGTAAATTCTCTTCGCGCACCTCACGTCGTCAGCCAGGTCTTCATTCAAGAGATCTGAAATTTAATATAAAAAATAACTAAACATATGAAGAAGAATGAATGAAATTTTGTTTGAATGTTGTTTTTATTTGGAAGTTTTGTTTATATTAGGTAATGCTGTGTTCTGGTGTGAATAATTACAGGCTGTGATGTATTTATTACATCTTAGTCGTTGGAGGTGATTCTTAATTTAAAATTGACTGGCGGTATCCATAGACTGCAGGAGTGACTGCACTTCAGAAGTAAAAACTTCTTAGCTTCACAAACATAATATATATATACATATATGTTTGTGAAGACGATACATATATGCATCTGTATTTATATATCTGAGCGTGATGATCACGCGAGTTTAGCGCTTTTTCCCCATCCCAAAAGTGCCCAACGTGCATAAAGAAGTTTTTACATTAAAAACATTGCCATGTTCGTTGCGATCGCGGTACTAGACGTCTCGCAATTTTGACACTAATCCCGTCGTCAGTCTGACTGATCTGGAGTAAACGAGATGGACATACAGCCCTCTGTTGGTAGCAATGAGAGAATTTCTGCCTTTTCATTAACTTGCCTCTCATGACATCTAGCGGATAAAATGGAGTATTGGTTTTCTTTACGCCATCACAATACTACAATAAGCAAAGTACCTAATAATATATGTAAGAAATATTAATTTTATTTTGTTGAACCTATTTTCCTAAGAATAAATAAAATATTAGCATTAAAAATAAAGCAAAATATTAGTCTTTCTGCATCATTATGTTCCAATTTAATTACGATTAGACATTTACGAGTATCTGATAGTTCCTATTTTATTTTTTATAATATGGAAGTTGATTATGTAGCTGTGACTACTTTAATGATTACAAGAAAAATAATTTAATTATAAAATAAATAATATATTTATTTTTCCAATTATCTGACTACAATAAATCCTCTTACTTAAGTCCTGAGAAGGACGAGCAAGAAACCTAGCGGGACTTTTTTAATAGGATTATGTTTGACGTATAAATTCAAATATAAAGTTAAGTATGATACTCGTATAATGGATTTTATCTTGTGCAACTGTAAAACGTGCATAATGTTTTTGTAAACTAAAATTAGTTATTTGTACGCAACTCTGGGTAACACATTAGTTTAATAATTGCATCGCCCTGTTGGATAAAAAGCAAATGAAAAAGACTGCGGGTGTGACATATGTCATTTTTAATTACCGACAACGCCATTAACGAACAAAAACTGTATGTGAATTCGCAAACAGAATGGACAGGCGACAGTTTGGCGGCATATTTATTCCCAAAGTTACATAAAATGTGTGTACATTGTACATACCAGCGACCTGCCCCGGTTTCGCTTGGTTAGGGTCTATTAATGTGGTTAATGAATATTTATTTTATCAATTTTACCATTACAAACATCAACACATCTTAAAGCTTTTCGAAGACCACTGCTGGAAATGCTAGAATCGTGTTAAATCTAAATAAAAGTTATCCAACACTGTTACCAAGACAAGAGAATTATATATTATGTTGAGAAAACTGCTATACAGCGTAAGTAATAAAAATATTGTACTACAACTAATTAAAAATCAATGGCTGCATGATTTAATCCATAACATACATAGTACAGCCAATAAGACTTTAAGACACTCGAAACGTACAGGCTGTTTAGAAAATTGTCGCCATTTAAGGACCCATAAAAAATATAGTAGAATATACCTTGCGCTTTCGCTTAAGGTATGCAAAAATATAATTTTAGGCATATTAGACGTCAGTCTGAGCATATACCATTATTTTCAGTGTGACTAATGATCACTGTGCTCAAATGTGCCTTCATAACAATTCATTTAATTTTTTTTTCTAACCTATACAACCGATGTTTAGTTACCGTATTTAGTATTGTGTCCTTATATTATTTGGTTATTTTGCTGGCGCGGAAATTTTTTGATAGAAAAGATATACAAGTTTACCTTAAATCTTATTTTGCACTTTTAATTCACCAATTATCACCGTCAAATCTGAACTCCAATTCGAGTATAATATTAATTAATTAAATATATTTTATTACTCTGACATTAAATATCGCAATCGTTAAATAAATTATATAATTACAATTATATTCATCCAAAGTAAAGATGTTTTTGTTCACTTGTCTTTAAAAGTTACAGATAAGACAATTATCTGTAGTGTAATAGTTTCCTTCCACACCAAATAACAGCTGTAATACAGCTATTATACGCCTCTTTTGTGTTTGTACAGCTACTGTACAGCGCTACTAACGCATAAAGCTGTATATTTTGTGACTTTTTTTACTTATAAGAACTGTATAAATGCTTATACAACCTTAATACAGCCGGAAAATACAGCCTCTAGTATAAAAACGAACTTCAATACAGCTGGTATACAGCTTGCGTGCTACTAGGGTGGACTTTTATTGGCTTTATTGAATGGGATGATTCTCCATCCTTCGAACTGCAGTCTGTTTCAGCGAGACACTGCACTACGTAAATTTCTTTCTTAACTCTTAGGAGTTCCTTATGACACCCATAGAATTAAATGGGATGTTGGATACGCCATCACCACATGGCGAAAGTAAAATAAACTTATGATTTTTGTAGGTACGCTATAACTGTTTGTAACTTTGAATTTAAATAATTATTTTTAAATTTAATTGTTGTTGTGGATCGTCCACTTTTCCTTAATTGTATCTATCATACCTAACCTCCACTTTCATCTTGTGTTTTTATTTTTATTTATTTTTTCTTTTATTTAATTGTCTAATCTATGTACAACCTCTCTAGTCACCATTCGTCGTAAACAATAGTTCTTTGCGTAAAGGTTGTCTAGAAGGAATCGCTTTTAGAGCGATAACACCACCTATTGTATCTTCTATATAATTAATTTCATTTTGGGTTTCGTTTTAATGTGTATTTATTCATGCACAATAAAGAATATATTCATTGATTTCCTGCTACGGCGGGCTTCTAATAGAATTCTTAAACCATACATAAAAATGATATCAATTTAAAAGATGTTTTAAGTTGCTCTCTTTCTTTTCATAAAGTTACAATAGAAAGAGACATGTATAGAGATAATTAATACTAAATTTAAGTAAGCGATAGTCAACTATAAAAGAGAGACCGTTATTGTGTATAGCTGCCAACAGTAATGCTATTGCTTATTGTGCATTTCAATTGTTTTGATCAAATGGGAGTTAAATTTATTGATTGCGGGCAACACAATAAGAAATTACTGCATTAATTTTATCAGTATTATATTAAAGTACAATACCTGTTGAAAAAGCTTTAACTGAACTAAGAAATTGGTACTTATATATCAGACAAAAGTATTTAAACAGAAGCGATTTACAATAGCTGTTAGACTTACAATTTAGTTTGTTATAATTAAAGAAAAACATGGCGTTTGTTAATAAAAGTCTTGTTGTTTCTTCCGTTTTAAATTTCTTTTGATTTTAATTTCTTTTGTTTATATACTAGGAATATATACTAGGAAAATCTGTCTGTGTATAACAATTTTTATGGCGATCGGTTCACCGGTACATAAGTTGATGCACTGCAGCGACATCTAGTGGTTAGTTACAACAAAGTGGATAGCAAAACTTTTTACATGAAAAAAAAAAACATATTATATGTGCCAAATTTTATGGTATCAATCTCATTATCGATGTAAATTTGAATTTGATTTATAGTAATCCAAAGTAATCGATGGCCTAATGGATCAATGATGCAGATGCGTCGTCACCCGTGAGGACTAATATGGAATGTCTCTTTTCCAGTAAAATAGGTCTCCGGTCCTGTACACTCACCATACGAAACATAGCAGTGTCAAGCTGCTATTTTACGCTGATATCCTGTGAGAGCGTGGTCCTTCCCCGGTCGAGCCGACCCTTTCGTGCTACAACTATGCTACTAATATAGCTGCAGCATCGCTCTACCATGTATAAAATCCTTCATAGCCAGTTAAACAGTGGTATAGTCCTCGTCAACTTATTTGAACGTCACAAAAATAATAATGACAATGCCCTCCAGATCGAATATCGGTCATGGCGGCCAGTCTCAAAGAAGACTAACCATCAGCGCTGGACAGGATTAAAGTGCCATAGTGCAAGCACAAGGGCACTTTCTATTCCCTCACTCTCATAGTTCGATGGCACGGTAAACCGACACGACTGGAGAGAGTTCAGGCGTAAGACCAACGGCTTTGCGTATTTACCGAGGCACGGGGGTGAGACACCGCCAACTTCCTCACTCCGGGCAGTTACTGAAAATTTTTTGACGAAAAAACTCTATAACTAGATTTTTTGGTCGGACCCAGGATTCGAACCCGGGACCTCATGATTAGCAGTCGCGTTTACAACCACTAAACCCACGAGACAGTCAAAACGCATTATTAAGACTATGATTCACTACATCAAGCAAGATTATTTAAAACTAGCTGTTACCCGCGACTTCGCCCGCGTGGAATTTATTTGCACGGAACCCTAAAATAAAAGTAACCTAAGTTATTCCTTATAACATCAGCTATCTGCCAGTGAAAGTCCCGTTCAAATCGGTTCCCAGGTTTTTGCGTGATGCGTGTTCAGATAGACGTCATGTTAGAGTTTTATTACGGTAATAATATTAATAATATATAGAATATTTGGATTATTTTACGCTTTTCACTACCTTAGTAATGAGTTATACATAAACAATATTTCATAAACTCCGAGCTTAATGCTTTTGTATTTAAAGGCGCACGCTCGGGGCCGTTTTGAGTAATGTTGTTGACTATATCTTACAAGGTGCCTCGAACGCGAACGAAAATATGTTGCTTACGAGTACACGAACGATGTTTTCTAAGGCCATCTTACTTAATTTAAGCTACATTTTTATTAAACAAATTTTGAAAAAAAAAAATTTAAAATAGCTTAAAAATATTTTAAAATGACTTTCAGAACATCTCACTATCAAGTAGCAGAATGCTTATCTTCTACAACGTGGCCTACGGTTCTTATTTTTTTTAAATACTAGTGTTGCTATTAAACATTTCTAATATTCCCTTTAACCACTTCTAGTAAGCTTAAGATGCTTGTGTTAGAAGCAGTTGAGTAGTGTGTTTTAGAGGGGCTCTGTATCAAAATTTGTCGGGGGGCCCAAATGGAGGGTAAAGATTTTTCACAAAAGGAACAAAAACTCTCGTGTTGAATTAAAATAATTATATATGGATTATAAGTTATTACTTACAATTAATACTCCTAGAAACTAAGCTAGCCAAACAGTTCAAACCAACATCCTGTCCCATAGAAGTCCTTAGAATTTTTGCTTACATACGTTCGGGGCCCCTGCAGCCCGGTGGCCCCGTATCATTGATACGGCTGATACGGCGGTAGCCACGCCCCTGGTTAGAAGTTGTTCACGACAGTAGTCGAATAGCGGATTCGAACCCATGACCTTTCGAGTTCGCTGTCCGCGCCCTGGCATTAGGTTACTGACGCTTTGAAACCAATTTACAAGAATAAGTGATGGAAAGTTGGGATTTTTTACACCGTCACTTCACATAATATTTTCTTTATGTGCGGTGATAGAATATCCACTACCACATACCGTTCCCCTTGATGTCATAAGAGGCGACAGAGGGAAACGAACTAGAAGATGGGCATCAGCGTCTGCCCAATTACAACTAAAAAATAAGAAAAACATGCGTGCAGCTCACACGCGCTAGAAATGGAACCTTCAGAAAATGAAATCATGAAATCGTGGATTGTAATTAATGGAGTGGATAAGATAATTTAATTGAATATGGTTAGTTTCATTGAGTTATATGTATTACGTACTAGAGAAGCCATTCCGAACATTGACTATGTTCAACTGAACTGTAGTGCAATCAATACAAACTAAATATTGCGTAAATTGAAGATTTGTGAATTCCATAAAATAATTATTATTACATTTTATTTAGAAATATGTTTGTTTAGATTAAATTATGATATTTATATTAAATTCTTATATTTATTTTATATTAATATCTTATTTTTTATTAAATTAAAGTCTTCGCGCATGCGCGACTACTACTCCCGCGCATGCGCGAAGACATAGAGTAGGACACAATTTTTGTTTGGAATGGCTTCTCTAGTACGTAGTACATATAACTCAATGGTTAGTTTCATTTATTTGATAAATTTGTTAATTTTAATTTTTTGTAAAAAAGCACTGCACAAAGAGGACACCGAGATAATAGGAGACACTGCATACTGTATTCGATTTCAATCTCTCGCAGGCGAAATCCTATAGATCTATATGTTTGTTTCTTTTCTACCAACTTCAAAAAGGAGGAGGTACTCAATTCGACTGTATGTTTTTTTAAGTGTGTTACCTCATAACTTTTTTCTGGATGAACCGATTTCGATGATGGTTTTTTTGTATTTGAAAGGTTGTGCTTCTCATGTGGTCCCATATAAATCTGATCAAGGTATGAGCAGTAGTTGTTGAGTTATCTATACAAACTAATAAAATTGAAGGGTCTGTTTGTAATGTCAAAGTAACAGCTTTTTACTAAATACATATGAAAGTACATACGGTACTTATAACAAAAATACAATTTTTAAAATTTTTGTCTGTCTGTCTTTCTGTCTGTCTGTCTGTTTGTTCCGGCTAATCTTCAAAAGGGCTGGACCGACTTCGACGGGACTTTCACTGGCCGATAGCTGATATTATAAGAAGTAACTTAGGCTACTTTTAGTTTAGAAAAATAATTAGAGTTCCGCGCAAAAAAATTAAAACTCATAAATTCAATCGGGGGCAAAGTCGCGGAAAACAACTAGTTACTAATAATTTATACTGAAGTTGGTTGTACAAAAGTTTTAATTTTAAATGATTAGTGTCGCTTTTTCTTTACATCAAGTTCCAAATCACAACGATACTAAAGAATTTTATACTTCGAAAATAAAACAAATGCCAAAACACATGCCAAGCGTGAAAATGATGCCAAACATCCTTCCTATGAGGTTGGGGATGTCTATAATCAGCAGTGGACTTTTGATTAAAACATCACACAACTTTTGATTTCAACAGCAATAATTAAAAATTTTGTACAACCGACTTCAATATAAATTATAAAGAATAACTCAAAAACTATCGGTCAGATCTTAATCAAATTTATATGGGACCACACATGAAGTACCAGCTTTCAAATAAAAAAGGTATCATCGAAATCGGTTCAACCAGTAAGAAGTTATGCGGTTATGTATTTAAGTTATAACACCCTTAAAAAAACATACAGCCGAATTGAGTACCGGCTCCTTTTTGAAGTCGGTAGAAAACGACAAATAACAACAATGTCCTTAAACGTAGCACCAAGTTACAACACTGTCAATTATATGATAATTATTATGAAACAACATACCGCTTTTTGCTTTTAAAGGCTTTTAATTTTTGCATAGAAAAGGATTATTTATTTTTGTTGTTGACAATAAAGATAACCCTGCATTCGCGCAGTGGAATTTTGCAAATTATCGGAATTAAATGAGCATTACGCCGAGAGGTTAAGCACACACGTGCCGCGGAGCATAGATAATATGAAAAGCAAATCTCCATTCAGTAACAGATGCGAAATGTAATTGGAGGCATTGTGTTAATTAGATTAGCGGATAATACCTTCGCATTTCATGCTGCAGTGGCCGCCTTTTCTGCCTTTTTTGCACCATTCTTTGTTGTTTATCTGCAAACAAGTTAAATCAGTTTTTATTAACAAATAAATAATTCCTTGAAAATATATTTCATTATTTTTGATAGAAAGCAGAAAGCACTGATCTGAAAATAACAATATCATTCCAATCAGTGTGTTTTTTTTTTGGAATTCCCGTTATAGTTAACCCGGTGCTAATAGTGTGAAAATATTTACGCGGATGATGATAACGAGTCGATATGTCCCAACATATTTTATTTGGTTTTTATTTACAATAAAAGTCATTTATTATACAATACTAAATGAAAATGTTTTTTTTATTTGAGTTTTTAAACTTGAAAAATCATGTCTAAATAAACAAGTTGTCACAAACTTTACCTGCGATGACGTTGGGTCATTTTAACGTACTGATTTAATGCATGTTACTCGGTGATAAGATGCAGTCTTAGTGTACAGCGCTTCCTCGAAAAGAAGGAGGTTGTATCTCCTCGCACATACAGCCATACAACATACGGCGGGATTGCATTATTGGCGCCGGGTTAAAATATCATTTCAGATAGACAGTGACGAAATGCGCGTCATGTAACATAGTGTGTATATAGTATAGTTCTTTAATTTAGCTTGTTATAAACATGGTAGAGCCACGCTGCAGCTATATTATGGCACGAATGGGTCAGCTCGACCGGTTAGGCTCACACAGAATATCAGCGTAAAATAGCAGTTTAATGATGGAGTGTTTCGTACGGTGAGTGTAGAGAACCGGAGACCCTTTTTGTTGGAAAAGAGGCATTCTATCTTAGTCCTCACGGCTGACATCGCATCTGCATTTTGATTCGCAAACGAGGATAGATGTAGATGTCTATGGGCCACAGAAACCATTACCAGCAGGTGGACTGTGTGCTCACTTGTCGCCCTTATCCTATTAAAAAAAGAAAAGATTATATAACTTGAGGACCTACAAAATTGTCCATAATAGCGGAATGATATTGCAAGTTTTTAGATGGTACCAAGTTATGGAAATTTTGGGCATTAGATACATGTTTTCAACGAACTTTAATGACTTCAACGAATTTTAAAACTTCAACAGACATTTTACATAAAACCGGCTATAAGAGTAGCACTGTATTCTGTAACGTTTTCTTTTGCACTTTGTTTATATTAGTAGACATTTTTGTTTGTAGAAAACTGAATTTGCGAATTTTTCGCTCTTTCATGTTTTATTGAAGGCCACACATTTTTGCAAAATCACGAACTGTTGGTTTTCGGGACTGTATGTGTTACGGACTGTAGGTGTTTTTTTCTGTCTTTTTTTTAATTTACCAATGGAAGCGTCCAGTTTTTCTTCATAACAGCGCTGTAAAGTTTGTCTACCGTGTGTAGAGGTTGAGCTTCGAGACTCATATCTCCCCGACGGGAACCATCAAACTAAGTTTTTATTATATATCGGTGAATAAAACGTATCGCAAATATTACTGACCGCTGCTCAAGCACAGTTTCCGCGTAGTTTGCGCTAAAAGTAAAATATTTGGCAATCAGAGCCATACCTAAAGATTCAAATCGCGCGAGATCCTAGGAAGTAGTGATTATATACTCTTTTCTAGGAAGTTTCACGAACATATTACAAATGTAATACAATTTTACAGCGTTTAGAAGCTTTAACTAGAAAATAAATCAAAATAAAAAATTGTTGAAGAATTTATCGATCAACCTGATATTTAGTTTAAGACAGTTGATAATTTTCGATGTTGGTCGACAAATTCTTCGAGAACATCATTATAAATATTCGATCATTATTGTATTTTGCATCTTCAGATGTATTGAGATAGACGGAGCACTTAAAACTAATGAATAAAGCCCTATATTTTGCTACGATTAGGCGTACGTTGGTCGGCTCGAGAACACTGCGGATTTAATAGGATTTAACGGTTTTCTTTTAGATGTCTTTACTTATTACTTCTAGACGCTCCGTCTATCTTATTACTTTGGTCTTAGTCTGCATCAGAATACCGCGACGTAAAAACCATTTTAAAATAACTATACAAATAAAGTTATTTTCTAGTAGAAAACAATTATTAGATTATTTCAGATTTAAGTTAATTGTATTCACATTTCATTTGGCTCTTCGCTAAGTAGTTTTGATCACAATGCTCTAATAATATTGTCTGCTACATAATACTCGGACGTTCAGATTGTCTTCAGCTCTGATTTGATTAATCCTAGAATTTGCTTCGAATTCTATTTCGAAACTAATTCACCCTTCTAAAGCTCGCCGTCTGGCGGTAATCCTAGCAATTAGGACTTATTATATTCATCAATTCATAATACAATACAGTATAGCGTCGAATTTTGTTATACAAATTTATTTAACGAATTTATTTATAACCCTAGAAATAAATTAAATTCAGCTACGAGGATTATTTATGAAAATAATATTTTTTTACATAAATTATATTGTAAGAAATTACGAGATACAATATACGCGTATCATTATCATCATCATCGTCATTACAGCCTTCACAAGTCCACTGCTGAACATAGGCCTTCCCCAAGGAATGCCACAAAGCACGGTCCAGGTCGTCACTCCATCTAGTGGGGGACCGTCCTACACTTCGGCTACCGGTACGGAGATGCCATTCGCGAACCTTTCTTCCTCTTTAGTTTTCGGTTATTGAAGCTGTTGGCTCATTGCCACTTCAGCTTACTAATCCGTAAGTATATATATATATATATATATCCATTTTATATACGCGTATATGTATATATACAAACATAATTTGTCAGTTAAACGACGAAATTGCGATCATTGTATCAAGCTAGATCACAATGCAATAGCTAAATAATTATTTAACGAAATAACACGTTAAATAAAGATAAACAAGCTGGATATAATAATTTGTACGATTTCAATTAAGCCCTAAATACAACAATAAAATGGGCCAATAAGCGCTCATAAAATCCCCTGTGAAAATCCCAACCAACGTAATATAGAACGATATGGATAATATTGCTGTGGGCATCGTCATTGCGACGTTCAAATAAATAAGCGAATTAATTAAAAACGTGTTTGCTGACAAAATACAAAATGCAGGCGAGCGGCCATGTCGTTCGAAATTTGCATTTTTATCGCGCCCCTAATGGAGAAATGCGTATCGGGCATTTTTAAACGAGCTTTTTTTCGGGAATGTCAACGTAATGACTTCACTGCGCGGCTGGAATAAATTCCTGCCTTTAAGATGAATTCGATTGACAAATAATTTGCCTATTGACTATGAAATTGGGTTAAGACGACAGAACTTTATAACACAGCTAATAAATATTTCAAGAGTCTGCAGTCGTTTGACATTGTATGGTTAAATTAGGAGTTTAATTCGTAATTTTATTAGATTTGTATCATCTAATTTGTTTTTGAACGTATATATAAAATAAACGATAAAAATAAAATAGAAGTCATATTAATTGACTTAAAGCTACTCTCGACTAAGCTATAACTCGTAAGGGTTTTAATTTTACCAAATACCCATTTCAGTAAAACGACAGACAGACTCCAGGGAGTTTTATCAGTGTTAAATTGCACAGCGATTAATTACAATTAATTGCTGTGCTGTGAATAAATATTTTTTTTTAAATAGGCCATTTTCATCTGTGTCAATTATTACATAAAATTTTTTGTTGTTTATTTTACAGAAACATTAGAATCAAGTACGTTTGTTAGACAGTCGTGACTATATGTTTATTACGTATATCTTTATATTATTTTGCTTTAGCTTCCATAAGGAAAAAGTTCCTCAATAGAAATTTATACAATACAATACTAAAAAATAATACAAATATTGAAGGAAAATAAAAGAGAGTCTTTGGATACAGCAATTTCTTTGAGACAACCCAAAAATATTTCAATATGCCCAAAAAATAAAACAAAACAATAAATTATGAAATAGAAGAGAGAGAGAGAGAAAGGAAGAAGTTACAAAGACAAATAATGTTCCTTGTTTTGCTTTCTGAAAAAAACTAAAGATTAAAGCTCGTTAATCAACAGAGGTAAGTAGTTCCAAAGCTTTAATTCAAGAATGGAGAAACATTTAAAAAGGACATTCGAGGGAAAGTTTTTCCTCGGACGGTAGAGAAAAATCATGAGGTGTTGAGATGTTTCAATTTATATAAATAAAATAAAATGATTAAAATATTATTTATGTCTTTGATCTATAACGAAAATTTCTCTGACTCAGGTTACAAGAGTTAACAATATTGTTAGAAAAAGTTGCAAGTGTGTACGCAATATTTATCACTAAATCCTTATAGATTTAGTGATAAATATTGCGTACACACTTGCAACTTTTTCTATTTTAAGCGCAAGGATTGTAAAATAATGCAATACTCAACGCGGTTAAACGATTAATATCCCGACCACAGGGCTTAATGAGAGACAATAATTTTTTGTGGAGCACGAAATGTCCACTGCGACATCGCATTACACCAAAATTTCACCGATTCTCCATGTCCCTTGTTAATTTAGTTATATTAAATTCAGCGTTAACCGCATAGTGATTATCGCCCATAATTTTAAATTAACATTCACTGATTAATAATTGCTGACTGTATCATTTGGATAATTACGAGGGAAAGATTTAAACTTAAATTTATTAAATAAAATTATTTGCAGCGAACAATATATCTCTGTATCGGTTTTATTCGTGAGAACTTTTAGGCAGTACTTTGAATAAATTAAATTGAAAAATTTAAAAACCCTCGAAACTAAACACAGCTGATGACCTTGAAACGTCGCAACCGATTTTGATAAAACATGTTTAAGAACCACCGCTAGAAAATCTGCTTTTAAGTATAAAAAAACCGCATACAAATCGGTTTAAGAGCTACAGTGCCACAGACAGACACATAGACAGACAGACAGACACACATAGCGGACAAACTTATAAAACCCCTCTTTTTGCATCAGGGGTTTAAAAGAAATTTGCTCAATTAGTTTGCGATATATCATTAAACGAATTACTGTTATTAAATTGAAAACTAGGTAC